CTTTAGCTGTAAAAATGAACAACTTCTGACCTTGATCATAAGCCATGTAATGGTTCCAAGTCAGTTCATTGTTCACTTTCTTCTAGAAAACCTGAAAGAGAGAGAGAGAGAGAGAGAGATATGGATGGGGGCATTATATCTTAGTTTCAACGAAATTATTTTTCAGGAATGGCCTCGGCCCAGTGGAAACAACTCATGGAGAAAGAGAAAATATCTCTATTACAAACCAGCTCTTGCGCTCTGGAAATGTTAGGGATGTCGTGACCCGTCAAAGATAAACTCCAGTTCTGGTAAAAGAAAGAAAATTAATTCTCACAGAATCAAACGAAACTTACACTGAATGTTCAAGAAGTTTTGGAAGAAAATGTATACTGGCTGAGTAATGAGCATACAAAGACAAGGAAATCAAGGTAGTACTAGCCCCGACACCATGTGTGTTGTCCCATAGCTTTCTGTGTACAGTGCTTGTTACTTTGCCAAGACTCGGCCAAATTTATTATGATTTTGATGACTTCAGAACCTTGCAGTGCATACCAATACTTACATGCTACATGATCAAATGTTTCTGATCCATTCCACACCTTTTCTTTCACAATGCAATCGCATTACCAGAACTCACCTTTATCTTTAATCACTGAACTGTAATTCAAATGAATTGTATTTTTTCGAATCTCACTCGCAGCACTATCTAAACTTAGGTTTAGTAAATGAGTACCTACTAAGAAGTAACAGTAATTTTTCTTGAATGCTTTCAGAACCTTGAGACAGCTAGGCTAAAGCCAAGATAATAATGTGATTCCGTTAACACCTTGAAGATCCCTTGGGTGGATAAAATGCGCAGAATGAACGTAGCTAATATTAAAGTTGAATCTATATTTCTGCATGCTCGAAAAAATATGCCAGAACTAAGGTTGATGATTATCAACGTAATTCGTGATGTAAACTAAACATCATATTTTCTGATTAAATCAGACTTTGAAGAGCCTCTGTCCAGATCCTCCGGCTTCTCATACGAGATCAGGACGCACTCGAGATAATCACCCCAAGAATAGATACGGAAACAACCTACCATGTAAGTAATGTTAAGATACCAACAAATACACACACACAAACAAACACATACACACAATTTAAACCCCGGCATTTTCGTTGATGGACATAATATGTAAATCGTAGATTCTTGACAAATGAGAAGTAGAACGTCGTGGTGAAATGTATGACAATGTCGTGAGCAAATGAAATAACACCAAACGGGGATCTCAAGATTGTCAGGAGACGGTGCAGTTAAGGCTGGAATGGTGTAGGGGTTGGGGGATACTCAAATCTTTGAGTCCGTTAAATTCAATTCGAAGTCGGAGAGGTGATGTCACATAAGATTTGCTCCTAATAATAATAATAATAATAATAATAATAATAATATGTCTTGTTTACCCAGGGTAGCCTCATCAGTATTCATACTGTTCTCCCTGAGGGCCCTGCAATCATATTATTACCCCGGTCATCGGATTCAGACTTACCTAAAATCCAATATTGCTATCAAACAATATGAAAGACTACTCGTACTTGTTTTAGTGTAAATGTTGGGTTGTGGTGTAGCGTAACGCTGTTTGAAATGTTCTTTTGTTTCCATACCATTCTAGTGCAGAGGAATCGTGTGATACTAGACTCCCCAGATCATGATTACATCAATGCTAGTCAAATGAAGGTGAGATGTTCATTCAGTATTGATAGATTCAATTTACACATGTAATTTAGTGTCAGAAAAACTGAAGGATTAAATGACATTGAAACCGTTTACATCTTCATTTGACTCGTGTTCAACATAAGAAACTGTAGACGCATTGGGTGTTGGCAATAACCATGGAAACATAATGTGCTAATATAGGTATTATTAATATGATTGATAATTAGCACACAAAGTATGTGTGTGTGTGTCCTATCATACTTTAGTGACTTGTTTTATTACGAAAGCTTCCAAAACGAATTTGACAAAAGTAAAATGCGCGGTAATACATTGATGATATTCCAGTTTCTATATTTCAATAAAAATGACACTGTGGATCGATTCATACCCATTAAATGTACCCGCACTGTCGCCATTATAATATAGAATGTACTATGGAAGATATTATATAAGAACTGTTACGTCTTTTATTAACTATCTTGGAATAAAACTTGATTGATAGTCATGTACGGGGTGTAGGGTGGGGGTGCAGTTCAGTAAGTGAGCCCCTCTCCGCCTAGGGTGCCCGTGCTTCGAATATATTGACAGCTCTTATAAAGCCTTTCATTACAATGGAAGTAGGTGGCAAGGGTCTCATGTTGTTACCGGATATTGTAATTATTCTTCCTTCATCTTTCAGGGAGTCCACTGTACATTCATGACAACCCAGATGCCGCTGCCAACCACTGTGTCTGATTTCTGGTCTATGGTCCTCAACAACAAACCATCCACTATCGTCATGCTTAACGACAAGAGCCAAAACGACAAGGTAGTAGTGCGAGCATATGTCAATTTTAAAATAAATTGTCTTAGTTTAAGTTTGGGAGATTTAAAGACCTTGCTCTTTTGTATTGCTTCTTTTGTTTTTTGATACGAAATAATCCATATACTAAACATGATAAATGTTGAATTCCCATCAGCGGCGCAGAAGGAAGGGGGTACCGGTCCTTTGTTTGAACAACCCAATTCGAGCTCCTCCCTGGATTAATAGTGTTAGTAGTAGTAGTAGTAGTAGTAGTAGTAGTAGAAGTAGTAGTGGTACAATACAGGAACCAAGTTGACAATAATGTGCACAGAACACGTTGTGAGTACATCAACAACATTATCGAGCAATCCTTAAGGACAATCCAAAGTCTTTCTGGTCCTACATCAAGACATGTCGATCGGAAAACATTGGTATTCCTACTTTGCGTACTCCATCTAAGCTATGCGCCTCAGCATTAGACAAGGCAGAGACACTGAACGACTACTTCCAGTCCGTCTTTACTCCTCACCAGCTCCACTCTCTTGTACAGAAAGGATATTCTCCTTTTCCAACTACTGGTCACCTGCACGTTCACAGGACCGGTGTCGAGAAACGCCTCCAGCAACTGGACCCTTCAAAGGCCAGCGGACCTGATGAACTTCCACCCAAGCTCCTAAAGCTGGTAGCTCGCGAGATTGCTTCTCCACTGTCCTTCCTGTTTCAACAAAGCTACAACAGTGGCATCGTTCCAGCCCAATTGAAGCAAGAACTAGTTACCCGTATACACAAGTCGGGAAAAAAGTGTGGCCCCTCCAACTACAGACCAATCTAACTCACCTGCGTCTGCTGCAAAGTCATGGAACACATCATCCTGAGCCATGTGTCGAAGCATGTTGCAGTAAATAATATCCTCACCGATGCAAAGCATTGCTTCCGATGGGGTTTGTCAACAACCACTCAATCGACAACAGCCGTCCACGACTGGTCCTCCATCCTTCAGCAGCGCAACCAAGCTGATATAATCTTCTTGGAGTTCAAGGAGGCATGCGATCGAGTACCACACCTTCTCCTGTCGACCAAACTTCAGTACTAAGGAATAAGTGGTCACAAAAATGCTAGAGCAAGTACAAAGAATTGCTGCTCGCTTTGTGTACCGTGACTACAGATACACCACATCACCATCGGCTCTTGTGGCAGCTCTAGGGTGGGACACGCTTCACACACGTCGAATCCTCGACTAATGCACCCTTCTCTACAAGATCCATCACCGTCTTGTCTCCATACCTGCACCAACTATTGTCATCCCTGCTACATACTTCGGAGGATACGACCACAACCTGAAGTATGTAATTCCTGTTGCAAGTACTGACTCCTTCAAGCTTTCATACTACCCGAGAGCAATGATGATCTAGAATCATCTGCCAGGCTCAGCAGTCAATGCAACAGGAATAACCAACTTCAAGGAGGCTGCTCTACGTACATCAGAATGATGCAGCCCCCTGTTCGTTCCCACATCATATAAGCTTACTTGCTTGGTTTTTACTTGCACTGGACTTAGCATATTTTACTCTAAATTAACGAGTGCTTTGTCCACACACCATTCCTGCAATTCATGACACTCCTTGTAGTTACTCGCCTCACCTACCATCCCAGTATAGCTTCCTGAGTGAGCTGCCAAATGGATTACCCAACCAATTACCAAGGTAGTAGTAGTAGTAGTAGTAGTAGTAGTAGTAGTAGTGGTGGAAGTATAGAAGTAGTAGTAGTAGTAGTAGTAGTAGTACTAGTAGTAGTACTAGTAGTAGTGTAGGAGTAGACTTTAATGGATAACTTGGTTAGCATAAGGCTAATCTTCACAGTGTTCAGAAGGCTCATTTACAAACTAACATGGCTAAAGTGACTAGTAATTGCAATTCAAGAAACCTGTGGCATTATTTAAAAAAAATGTAAGAGCGAGAGATATAAATGTAATAGGTCAGGAAAGGAGCGAACAGAAAAGGAAGGACTAACATGTATGTATGTGTATGAACATTTAACGATAGCCTTGCCTCTCCTCATTCTAGAGCTGTGCACAGTACTGGCCTGATGCTAACTCGGTTCAGTTTGGATCCTATTCAGTTTCAACCTTATCAACGTCATCTGATGGGGACATGACCATTCGGCAACTGAAAGTTACCAGAAACTCCAAAGTATGTCTTATTTCATATATTTCCTTTACGACACAGTGATTGTTGAAGAAGAGACTGTGAATTTAGATGTGATGCCCTCATTTGAAATGATTGTTTTTACAGATCAAGAAATCTAATATTTTTAGCGAACCGCATTATGAATTTCAACCAGAACAGTTTTTCCAACCGGGCGAACTGCGACTTGATGATTATCTAGCTTTTGTCAAATATTATGGCAGTTGAAAAGCAATAATTTTTGGTAGAACGCAAAGATAAGATGCAAAACTGTGACCGATTCAAATATGCCTTATACATCCATTTCCACGGATCGTTTTGTTTCGTTTTCTTTTAGACGAGTCACATCGTCACTCAGTACCAGTTCCATGGATGGCCTAAACATGGATCAGATCCACAATTAGGGGCTAGGTCGTTGATGAAGCTCATCCGTGCTGTCAAAAGTTCCACTAACAAAATGAATGAATTCTCCATTCTTGTCCATTGTTTGTAAGTCTAGGATCTTTTCAATGCTTACTTATCCTAAACAATCGCAATTGGTGCAAAGTCCACTGAAGCAGGATCGGTCCATAAATACAACAGCAAAAATTAGCTGTATTTTTTGGAAACCAAGGCAATGATTTAAACATCTTTGAACTCATATAAACTGTTAAAGGTAAAGAACAGTATTGGAAACGCCCCAATTTCAAAAAATGAAATGGAAGCTCTTATTACCACTCATGTGAAAGAATATGTTTTGAATCATACATGATGATACAAAGATTTCCGGGAAATATTTGGTAAATTAGTTTATCTAAAAACGCACGTGTCGCGCAGGGCTTGCTAGCAGCAGTTAATGTATGCAAAGTGGATTCCATCTTTAGAGATACTATTATATAAATCAGGTTTATTAAATAGTAAGTAACCAGGGGTTCTAAAAAAAAACATGCAGAAATTGAAATGCTTTAAAATCAAGGGATATTCAGTTGCGAGAAATGTATTACTATAAACGAAATTTATTTGATTCAAGTCTTAATAATAATTTCGCCCAATAGTCTTGGGTTATTTGTCTTTGCTTATTGTACCTTGATTATTGTACTTTTAACATATTTACATTTTGTTTAACATTAAAGGAGTGGTGCTGGGCGAACAGGTGTGTTTTGCACTGCTATGGAGTGCATCGCTCAGATAGCTGAGGGAGATTCCGTCGATATTTTCCAGACAGTCAAGATACTGCGAGCTGACAGGATGCAGTTCGTCCAAACTGAGGTATGCAAAATTATTTGTAATTTTATCACACAGGTCAAATTACTCCTGTAATAATAAATAAGAAACATGAACTATGATGAAATATCATCTGTAATTACAACATTTAAATAGTATTCCCTTGTTGTACTATGGTATACAGTGGTAGAAGTTAAATCGAAATAGATATTTGAAATACTTTGCTCGGAGTCAAATCTATGACTGTTTTTTCTTCTATTTTACGTGTGAGGAATAAAGCCTCTAAAGAACATATTTTAGTTTGAAAATATATTCGTGTATTTTCCTCATTTTACAGTATCATCTTTATTCTATTTTTTTAAATCGTAATCTTCATTTCTCCATCTCTGTTTGCCAACGAATATCAAGTAGTTAACAAATAGAACCTCCCCATACAATTTTATGTAGGAGGAATATGCTTTCGTCTACGATGTCATCCGTGAATACCTGCACACTGAAAACTATGAGCAGCTTCCGTACCCGATAGAGGACCACACGTATGGCAATGTAGAGATCGACTATACACATGACCCGGAAGAGAACCCATATGAGGTCACTGATCCGCAGGAAGCAGGCGCCACCGCACTCATGTATGGCAATGTAGAGACTGAGAGGAGCCAGGACAGACCGAAGCCAGAGCCTCAACAACCGTACTCTGTATATGAGAACGTTACATTTGATTCTTAAATTCATATAGGTTTTTGTTGTTTGAATGGTGGTCTGTATACGAGAACTTTGCATTTGATTCTTAAATTCATATAGTTTTTCGTTGTTTGAATGGTGGTCTGTATACGAGAACTTTGCATTTGATTCTTAAATTCATATAGCATTGCGTTGGTTGAATGATGGTCCTGAAATCTATGGATGAAACTGTATTTGTAGATATTTTTGGTTGTGAAGTATTTTTGTTTTAACCTTAGAAAATAAAGTGGAACTACGGAAACATTATTGTGGAGGTGTCGTAGTATACGTGGTTCATTCACTTGATTTTCAATCTAAGGGTTTAGGGTTCGAATCTCAGCCCGGCACTAACATCATATGGCAAGCCATTAATACACATCTGTACAGGTGCATTGTTTTTGGTTATCGAGTGAATGTTCTTTAAGCTTATGAAGTACATAGTTATGATGTATTAAAATGTCTTAAAGGTAATACAAAGTTTTGGTATGGGTTCATGAATTTGGTTCAAATGAACATATTGGGAGCATATGCGATCTTAAATAATTCAGTGATCGTTGTCGCCGTTGAAATCGAGTCTAAAGTTATAAAATTGTAAATAATACACTCTTTATGTTGTATAGCTCCCTCTCAAGGTCAAGATATTTATTTAGTTATAAAACAATGTTTCTTGACTAAAAGCGACTGATTAGCTATTCCCGTTTTGAAATATATCACAACTACATATTCTGAGATTTTCACGGTCGCAGCTACCATTGTACGGCCGTAGGCGCTATTTGAAATTCATCAAAATTTACCGGGAGTACCGGTAAATTTTTATATTCAATTTTTCTCGAAAGCAGAAGTGTTTTAGGGGCTAAATTTTCTAGTGCTTATAATACATCCACAGGGGCATCCAAATATATCAAAATTGTAAGGAATCACTATCCACCAGATTTTCAAAATTTCCCAAAACTTTGTATTACTTTCAAATTAGATATTCATTGATTTAAAAACTAGCTTTATTTTCATTACTGCAAAGTTGAAACTTTGATTCGACAAGGTTATCAAAATTCAATTCTTGGAAACATTCAAAGTAATTGTTATTATAAATTACACAGCGCTTAAATACAGCCCCGGCATAGCACCTGAAGAGCTCTTCGAACGCTGCTGAGATGTGTGAGATCACAGGATGGACATGATTTGCGCAAGCAGACGATGTCCCATGGCATCTCACACATTTGCAGTGCCTGTTTTTCATCTTCTCTTGATATCTTTCTCTTACTTCACTACCGTCATGCTAAATATATAACTCATTGCCTCACTCTAAACCCCGCGCGTGGTTTTAGTTTGATGACAAATGCAGCGATACAAAAATAAAGGAATCTGTCGCTTGTAAGTTGTAAACAAAATAAGACGCCATTGTATATTCAGCTGCACACACCGCGTTATGTTCGTCGTTTCAAGAGGGAACAAATGCCGCCCTTAATATCATTCCAGGGGGGGGGGGGGGCGGGGGATCGGGTTTCAATTTGAAAGTCTGGTTTCCTTGATTGTTAATTAACCCCATCCTGTGTATTTACAAACAAAAGAGTTTAGTTATCAGAATCGGTTCCCTTTTGAATGATTTGAAATGCCATCCCATTTATATACACTAAACTCATTATAATTTGAGAAATAATAGCTGTCGTCTGCTTGGGCAGTATTGATCCATTATGTGACGTCATTAAAACATTGTTATTTTTCTGGCGAATCTCTCGTATATCCCAGATTCTATGGAGGTGGTTGTATTTGTATTTTTTTTTTTAATAAATCACCCGATATGTAGTTGACCTAAGACTTGTACGATGGCCATCTGTTAGCTTACCAGTTTCTAGTGATACATTGTTTGACATATTTGTGATTTTCTTTGAATTTCCAATTCAAGGTCTGTTATTCACGTCTGAAGTATGAACCCTTTTGGTTGATAAAATGATTGCTCTTAACCTATTAACCATTGGTGAATAGCGAGTTGTATCAAATATTTTGTATCCAAAAACTGTCAACTGTCAAATGATCTAACCTTGGATCATTGTTTCGTCTTTGTTTATCATGTCTGTCTGGTATGTATGGTTTTGTTTGTTTATACGAAAATTATTGAATATCAGTACTTTCCAAATAGAGGTTGTATTACCACCATTGTGTTGTCAGTTGACTCATGTAAACCTGCAATATTTAGGTTCTTTCGTTGAATTAATGAACGTGAATTTGAAGTCTATAATGGTGTTTGTTGCAGAAAATGATGATATATATATGTACAAATTAACATTTTTTCTATTTTTATTGCACTTTTCTATTTTTGAATTTATATTGAAATATATTTTTCAAAGGGTGCAGGTTTGTGTAACGAATTCATACGACTGACTGATTTATTGTAAATAAAGAGCAAATTCAATTACTATTTACATTAACACACCACAATAAAGGCTGACAGTTCTTTCTAAATGCTGCAAGTCAATGGTAGATGTATTTGAAAATGTTTAACGAATATGCTCAAAGTCACTATAGCCTTTTAAAACTGCATGCAAGTGAACTAAAAAAGTGTGCTTATTCTTTGCAAGAGTATAAATGTATAAAGTATAAATGATGTTAGATACATTTCTAGTAATGGTTGATTTCCATTTAAAGCAAGTAGTCTCGAATTCACACTTATCATGCTTGTAATTGTTAGAAATAAATATATAACTTGTGCTTGTCACACTTTTTATATCCCCCTCTGTATCATCAAGTGCATAATAACCACATAATATTAGAAATACAGACCAAAAAAAATCGTTTCGTTTTCATTTTCATTTTATGTTCTTTATTCGCTTAAAATTCAACAGCACATAATGAAAAAAATCAAGGTTAAAAAATTGAGGTTACCATGATATAAACTAAATTCTAAAAATTGATACAAATAAACAGAGTAATATGCTCAGGGAGACAAGCAAACATACTAGTGATAGTTTTTCAATTAAATAAATTAAACAAATTCAATCTTCATATACAGTAGGTTTGCGGGTGCACCATGTGTGAGAGAGAGAGAGGGTTGAGGAGTCCTGAAAAGGACTCTGACTCGGTAATCTTTCTTGGGGATGTGTAGTCCTGAAAAGGACTGTTTGTTATCTTTCTTAGCATATAGTTCTAAGGAGAAATATAGCGCTTGGAGAGGATGAGTTGCTCGACGTTTCGAACAGGTTGACTATCCGTCGTCGGGAGTAAGCCGACACTTACAAGCAGCATCTAAATTCAATCTTGTTTTATAAACAAAATAAATTATAATATATATATATATATTTATTATTGGCAGTATCTGTAATCATGTATCGGGGATGTGAAGGAGCTACTCAAAATAGAAATTACACAATTGCCATATTTATAGAATAAATGTATATCCGTTCATATATTTTTGCACATATTTCACAACCATAATCATGAGATTGTGAATAAGAATAAATAATGATAACGACCAAAATAAAATAGTAACAAATCCATCGCAATAATGTTAATAGCCTTAATTGACTTTATCCCTCGAACCATCTCAGTCTAAAAAAAAGTGGTAAAACAAGCAGGAAGGGAGAGGAACATAAAAAGAAGGCGATAATATCCCCTTCCCTAAACTCACAGTAAGAGCCGTGCGTTTCCCCAACTTTCCCTTGACACACAGTGCCCTATCAAAAACTCGACACACACTTTCCTGGTACACTTGAGGGAAACCTACTCTTTGCTCTCATCTAAGAAATACATGCATATTTCTGCTGATTCAATCTATATGTATATACATTTAATATGTATTCCTCGGTTGCTTTTTTTACAAATAATACTAGGAACCAATATTGATGGATGACTGATTTGGGCAACCCATTGGCTTCGCAAACCTACCCATTTCCAATTTTGATTAGCTCCATGACCATAGGCGCCGGAAATGGGGGACATGGGGGGGGGGGGGGGGGGCAAAACGCAAATAAGTGACCTGCCCATGTCACAAATAAGGAATAAAAAATGCTCATCTGACCGTAATTAAATGCCTCAAACCCCAGAGCTTACAGAGGCTTCGCCCTGGACCCCACCAAGGGCCCTAAGGCGGTACTCTGGATGCTCATCTGACCGTAATTAAATACCTAAAACCCCTGAGCTTCCGGGGCTCTGCCCCCTGGATGCTCATCTGACCGTAATCAAATACCTAAAACCCCCGAGCTTTCGGGGGCTTTGCCCCCTGGACCCCACCAAGGGCCCTAAGGCGCCCCCTGGATGCTCATCTCACCATAATTAAATACCTAAAACCCCTGAGCTTCCGGGGGCTCTGCCCCCTGGACCCCACCAAGGGCCCTAAGGCGGCCCCTGGATGCTCATCTGACCGTAGTTAATATTAAAACCTCTGAGCTTCTGGGAGCTCTCCCCAGGCGCGGATCCAGGATTTCTAAGGGGGGGGGGCCCAAATTTGAAATTATGCGAGCCAAATATTGGTACGTAATGGTGACCAGCAGTGACGTAATGCAGGGGGATGTAGGGAGGGGTGAGTTTCCCCCTCCCTCCTCTGCAAAGCGCGGAAGCTATATATGACGTTTCATTAAAGTATTATGGAGCTCTCACACTCTGCCGTGTAGGCCTACCGTCCACCTGCCGGGCTGTTAAAAAACAACAGAGTCCAGAACGTTGGGTTTTGAGCGAACTTGTCCCCGGCCGCAAAAAAAAAAATCATAAAATTAATCTTTTCACCGTTTCGTTGCCATCTTCTGGCCGTTTCCATACCAGGCCCATACCGGGTCTCGAACGTGTGCACCGGGTTTGTAGCAGCCACCTACCAGTCACTTAGCGTCCCCTCACCGCTCGGAGCGTCCTGTGAGCGAGTCCCCGGACTGCTGACGTCATGACAAGAAAAAGTAAAGCTCATCTGACGAAACCCCTCTATATATACGCAATAATTAGTGACAAACGGTAGCACACGGTGACAAAATTTGTTGGTAATGGCACGTTCATATGACGCTACTGTGAAGGTAAGGACACGTTAAGGACCCGTTATAGGACGTTATGGGAACGTCGAGGCGTTAACAGGATGTTACCCATGCGTTAGGGAGGCGGCGCCGTCAGAATCAGGCGGTACCGCTTTGGAAACACCCGTTGGCAGTCCGGTATGAACACTGTAATGAGCACGGTATGAATACGTTATGAAGACGGTGGCACGGTATCAACACGTTCATGACACGTTCACAACCCGCTTACAACCCGTTGCAGACGGTGGATTTGTTTTTGCCCGTT